AATCATCTTTAATGAGCTTCAACTGTTAGCAAATCTTAGCAATTTGCTACATCACAAAATGATTATTTCCCCCCTCGGAGAATTCAGTTCAGAATATTTTTGACCCACTTGCTTCGGTTTCTTCCACCACCAACCACTGGTATCACTGAGCTAAAAGATAAGACCTGAAATCTGCACTGGTTACATCTTCATCATGAGCATTAATGTCATTACTTTTTTACCTCTGAAAAAAAATTGAAATAGTTGCATTTTTACACAAGGAATAATATTAAAATCCAATATTTTAATGGACCATGATAGGAGTAAATTTTTTAAAAGTATTTTTAATAGTGAAATCTTCTCATCTTGTTTGCTGATTTCTGCTCCTGATCTGTTTTTTGTCTGCGTTGTTCCAGAATATTACGTAGGCAACATCTGACTGCAAAGAATATGTGGGTTTGTCTGTATTTATAGCTGAACTGGATATGATTCATGTATACAAACAGCAGTAACTGAGTCAAAATGAGAAATCTTCTGGAAAATAATAAGCCTTACTAATGTGCATGCTCCTTTGTATAGATCTGCTTTCACATTCTGAAAAAAGATGCAGTGGAAACAATCCTTTACTGCTCGGTCTTACAAGAGACGACTAACAATTATTTCTTAATCTTTTATTTTTCTTCCTTTTACATTTTTAAAAATATTTCAGTGTGAGATTATGCTTCTGCAAAAATCTGAATTTATCTCAAGGATTTTTAAACATCTTCACTAAATAGATGTGGAGGTTTCTGTGGTCGCTTACTCAGAAGTGGCAAACAGCTGCCAATGAATGAAGCAAATTAAAAATATTCAGCTTATAAAAATGTCTTGTGGTGAATAACAGGAGAACAAAACAGTTTGTGTCTTTTGTAAATTTTAGATCTTATAATTTCCCAGGTTGTATAGAAAATATATTTGGAGGGAAAAAAATTCCTTACTCTTAAAATAGACACCCATGTGAAATATATCTGAAAGGTACAAGCAGACACATTTTACTGCAAACTCTATAATTTCATGTCAGTGCTGTCTGGCGGATCTGCAGTTTAATCATATGCAGGGAAGTATCCCGTAAACGCAGAAATGTGCCGTATCTTGATGAGCCCACAACTGGAATCGGTTGAGTCTGCTTCTTGAAGGATATTTTAGTCAGCAAAGGGTCGAAAAGGGGAAGTGAGATTTGGGATTCGGGTCGGGCCAGATTTGGTTGGCCAGAATATCCCTCTCATGCAAATAGTACTCCCCCCTCCTGCAGAGTCCCAATCAAGCATGGGTGCAGAGAGGGGGTTCCACGTTGGCTGCAGCTGCTTCCCGTTCCTGTTCAATCAAACAGCCGCCATCTGGAGGTGGCCATCTCCTCGCAGCTCCGCACAGTTCCTCCGCTGGCCCTGACTGCGTCTCTCCAGACAGGCCCGGCCCTCAGACCGCCCCCTACCCTTCTACAGGCCTGGCCTTCCTTTCTGTCTGTCCTCTTCACTGCGGCGTCTTCTCAGCATGTGTCGTCATGCTTCCAGCAGTTATTTAAAACCGGTCCACCTCTGCAGGCGGATTACTCTTTGTCATTATAGGCGCATCTCAACAAATCAGAATGCTATTAAAAACGTAGATTATTCCAGTGATTCAGTTTCCAAAAGTACCGATTAGGACTAAATAGAGATGATTAGCTGTAAGGGAAAAGCCGAAAGAGAAGAAGAGCTACCAAGGGAATACTGCGCTTGATTGGCCTGCAAATTCCCCAAGTACTGAGTGCATATGTTTCACAGTTCTGTAACTATGACTATAACAACATTAGCTATGTTTTCATCCAAACTTTAAAATGTCACAGAAAAGGAAATGCGAGTTGTTTCCATGTACTGGTTTGGAGCGACTCAACCAGGCTGTGCAAAGCTAACTTTGTCAGATGTTGGCGCTACACATGACTGTAATAAACAGGAAGTAGAGGTTGCAAGTTAGCATGGACCACACATCTCAGAAAATGGAGAAAGTCCTTTCCTCCAACAGAGGTCTGGACTTTTACATTTTTCAGGGTTTTGTGCATCAACCCACAGACCCACTAAAAGATTTGATACCTTAGAACTTAGTTGCCAAATGTGTTTCCATCTCAAAACTGTCTCAAGCGAGATGTTTTTGCAAAATTGAGGAAGCTATTCCAACTCTTCAGCCTTTTCTAATGTGACACTTCAATATGTGCTTAGAAAAACATTGATGGAAGCACGATTACTGTCTTGGTCCAATTTCAGTGGCCACACTGAGGTCCAGTTACTGCCAGACCGGCATAATCCAGGAATAACCCAGTTAGAACCAGTCTGAGTCTAAAAGATCTGAAAATGCTACACATTATGCACCAACCTAAAGAAATTCTTGGACAGAAGACAAAGGAGGACATTGACATTATTTCAGTTTAACTGTTTTTTGCCATCCCCCTTTTTACAGAAAGACATTCAGTTTAGAGACCTAAAGGAGATGCACACGAATATCATCTGCATAGCAGCAACATCAGAGAGCTACAAATCCTCAAAATGTTCTGAAGAACAAGCATGTAAAGCAGAAATAAAATGGACCAAAAACAGAACCCTGAGGTACACCAGGCGAACCTTCCCAGGAATGGCAGCCTTCCAAACTTTCCATCTCATCCAGAAAGTGACAAAAGAACCCATAACAACATCTAAAGGACTACTAGTGTCACTTGTTAAGGTCAGAGTTCATGACACTGTAAGAACAAGGCTGAGCAAGAATGAAAACAAGGAAAGAAATCGATTCAGAAAAGAAGGCCATACCCACAGTCAAACACGGTGGTGGCAGTATGATGGTCAGGACTATTATGATCTCTTGTTTGGACATTTAGAGTCTGTTTTTGTTTTTTTTTTCTCTCGTCATTCAAGTTTATTCCTTGTGTTCAGTCGTTCTCATTGTTTGTGTTTTGTGATTTTTTTTTCATAGATTAGTATTTATTTCTGTTTATGGTTCAGGTTTCCTGTCTTTATAGTTTTTCTGTTTGTATTTCCACCTCACCTCAGACTGCCATTATTCTCCCGCTCTTAGCTGCTCATCATTTCCTCACTTCACTTCCCTGTTCCTTCCCCTGCTGCATCCGCTCACCTGTAATTAGCTCTTCTGGCCTTTTGTCATTTCTAAGTCTCCCTCGGTATTTTAAAGCTCATTGTACAAACTCATTCAATAAATTAGAATATTATTGAAAAGTTTATTTATGTAAGCAAGTGAAGCACATCATATAGATTTTTTTTTAAAACAAAGATTGATGTAGAAGTCCAGACTTGCTGTAGCATGACCTTAGGCAGGTCGTGGATACTTGAAAATCCCTCCAGTGTAGTTAAAATAAAACAATTCTGCAAAGAAGAACGAGCCAAAACCAGTTCCTTCAAAACCAGTTATTAGGTTCAGATTTTTTTAAATAGTTGAAATAATGATCATAATAAAATCATTGTATTAAAACCACTTTTTCTAGTTACTTTTACTGTCTTTGACTGATGATCTGAAACACTGAAACATGCCAAAAAAAAAAAAAAAAACTGAAAAATTGTAGGGGGAAATACTTTTTTCACTCTACTTTTAGGTGAACATTTATGTGTTGAAAATATTAGTTTTATTGGTGTAATGTAAAAAATTTTTTTTATAGGTTTATGTTGAGAAAATAATCAAAATGGCCAAAAATAAATGCTTGAAATATATTACAGTAATGACTCAACATGTGATTTTTAGTGTTGGAAATCAAAAATATGGAAGTAAATTAACTTTTTCCTTGTATTTTAAATGACTGAGATTCTTCTGGATTTTGGTAGTTTATCAAATAAAAGCGTAAAAAATAATGGATATTATGGGATGTCTTGAATGCTCTGTAAAAACACACTAATTTATTTCCATCTATCTAATAATTTTCCTTCAGCGCTTTGTGTTCATTTCTTGACTTGAACGTCAGTCATTCGGTCTAATTGAATTTTATTTGACAGCTCTGAACCGCGCAGCGTCTTGAATGACATCCACACTTAATTATTTCAGGAGAAGTTTGAGAGCCAAACTCCGCCAATCATTTATGTTTGACTTTAAACGTTTTGACATTTAAAAACAGAAAACAAACCCACTCTGTGTGCATATATAAAATATCCTTTATTGACATCTTGAAAGCGTAACCCTCTCTCCAGATGATGGTAACTTTACTTTTAGTTTCCGATACAGCAGATCTTGATCCTTTACATGAACAGCCTCCAGCAGCAGACACAAATTCCTCTCACACACATTTTTAGTACAGCTGAACAGAAAAAAGATGCTACTCTATAACACAAAACACCAATCACTGTAATAAATATAAAAAAACAGACAAGCATGTAAATGTTTCATAAATAATCCCACAAAGACAAGCAAAAGGTGACGGGTTGAGACATTTTACAGGACTCTGGGCTCACCTTTTACTGATTGTATTGACCTCCAGTGTTAGCTGGGTTTTGTTTGCACTGAATCTTTGTTCTTTTTTTTATTTTGGTGCAAGTCTTGTTCATACGAATAAAAAGAAAAAGGTCCTTTTGTATTTTTGGCTGCATTTTCTACAACAGTTGTTCATGTTTTCGGAAACTTTTTATTTAAAATAATAAAAAAAGAGATGTTTTTCATATATTCATATATCAACATACATGCAAATGGTTTAAAAACTTCCAGACATTAGGAGTGTATTTTACATCATGTATTTCTACGCTTTTATTGCAGATGAGTGGTTTTTTTTAATGGTATTTGCTTTGTCATTTTTGCACTGCAAAAACACAAAACTTTACTAAGTATTTTTTGTCTAATATCTTAGTACTTTTGAAATAAGACAAAACTAACTAGTAACTTTTCATCCATGGAGTAGCACCGATTGCAGTTTTCTGGCCGATCGCAATCTTTAAAAAGCCCGACCTGCCGATTCTGATTCTGTCCCGTACTGATATTTTTGTCTGAAATGTTGCTAAATTGGCAGCAGTGGGTAATTGTTTGACCTTTGCCAAGTTCACATAAGTATCAGCTAATCACCATGCTCCCAAAATTAAGGAAATCAGGGCCGATTTATTGGTGCATCCCTAATGAAAAGTGTTTTGTCTTATTTCAAGTGAATTAAGGTATTTCCACTAGAAAATAGACCAAATACTTGGTAATATGTTGTGTTTTTCCACTGTGGACTGAAGGGGGCGCTCATCAGCGATGCTCCCCCCGGGTTATGTGAGATGAGAACTCGTAGCGGTCTTGACTCCGGTGGCCACAGATGTTGCACTCGAAGGGGTCTCTGTGGTCGTGGCAGCCCATGTGAATGGTGTACATGACGTGGTCCAGGAAGAGTACGCGGCACGGCTCGCAGCGGTACGCCCTCACCTGCTCGCCGTCCGCCGTCACCACCTTGAAGCCGTCGGCAGCCACCTCCCTGATGGCGTCATACCTCTGTTGCTCCTCCTTGACCAGGGGCAGCACGCCGTTCCTCATGCCCATGTGGTTGGTCAGGTAGATGAGGCCGGTGGCCGCGCCCGTCCGGTCGTCGTTGTTGCTCTCGGTGTCGGTGGAGTCCTGGCCGCTGTGGCTGGGCGAGCCGTCCTTGTCGCTGGGCGCCGACTTGGACAGCAGCAGCAGGTTCTCGGCCGCGCTGTCTTTGGCCGACAGGACGGCGCCCACGTGGCCCTCGGGGGCCGGCTTGTGGAGCGGGTAGATGGAGCCGATGCCGACGTCAGAGGGCGCCGGGGAGGTCTGGACCAGGGGCCGCAGAGACTCCGCCCCCAGGTAGCTTATGGCGCTGTTGATGGCCTGGTCGATGACGTGCGGCTGGATGAGCTCTCCCGATCCGCCGTCGTACGACAGATCCGACAGACGTTTGTCTCCTGGTGGGTCAGAAACAGACACAGATATGCTTCACCGACGCTCCCAGACATTCAGTCACATCTTGAGGCTAACGCTCTCTAGCTTAGTCAGAAAGGGACGTACAGTGCCGTGCAAACTCAGCCACAACCTTTCAGCCTTTTCACATTTTTAACACCACAAGCCTTCATTTGTTTTAGAGAGATTTTATATGATCAGCCAATTGCTTTTTATTGTCGCTAACTGTAAATAGTTCTTCTTTAAAAAATTTTTTAAACTAACATTCATTTGTACTGGAGTACACAATTTCTTTGTAACAACAAAGTATTTATGTCGAAATTTCCCTCTTACTGTACAGTTCTTTAACTCCTTATTCTGCTTTTATATATTTTACATTCTATCTTTGTGAGTCTACTTGCTTTGATTTCCCCATCTGTGGGACAATAAAGGATATTTCCATCCTAAAATAATTCCTTTTACGAGTCTTAATATCATAAATCTGGCATTTATTTGAGTCAGTACTGAGTAAAACCAGCTGCCAAGTCTTGTTTTGGATCAACCCAACCATTTTTCACATCTAAAAACTTAAAAATTTGCTGCTTTCTTCTTTGACTAGGCCATTCTAACACATAGATATGCATTAACTTAAATCAAAACATAACAGTTCTGATTGTTTGTTTACAGTGATGGAAGTCGAATCACTTCCCTGTTTCACTTTTGCAGCCTGTATTATCCCATCAAAACATCCCCACAGCATAATGCTGCCACTACCTCATGTCCGGGGGACATCCGGTGTTACTTTTCCAACACATATAATTTGTTTTGCATCAGTTAGAAACGTAATTTTTGCATCATAATTCCAGATTCCCTACTGTATTTAGGTCCAGACTTTAACTAGACCATTCAAAAACAGATGTAAATCATTCTTTTATGCTGGAAAATGAACCTCAGTTCAAAACTAATGTGTTTTGCCGCCTCTAAAATGTTTTTTTTTCCAGGCTGTCACATAGCATGATGCAGCCACTGCCATGTTTTAAAGTAGGGACGGTGGGTTTTGGGAGACTTTTCAGCTTTTATAGGGGCGCCAATCACTGATCGTTAAAAAAGCCTGACCTGCCGATTCTGATTTTGGCCGATACAGATTATTTTGTCTGAAAAGTCTCTAAATATAGCAACAAAATCATAAACTTAGCTACAATGGGGTGACTATTGCTAACTGCACACGTGCAGACATTACCTGGTGGACGGGTTTGTCAAAATGGGACAGTGGTGGATTTTCAGGCTTTTGCTGAGGTAAATAAGATCAGATCTCATGTAAATATTATCAGATCTTCAAAAATTAATTTACTAGGACCAATTTATTGGTATGTCCTGGTTTTTTATTCATAAAAAGTTTATTTAGGCTAGAAACATTACAGTATTTCTGATCTTACTTGACAAGAACATCTTCTACACATTTGCTGCGTCTCCTTTAGCCTGGACTTCCAGTATCTTTCTTCATACATTAAATGTGGTTATAATGTGAAAAAAGTGACTATTTTTGCTTGGCACTGTATGTTGTCATATTCTCAGTAAGACCCTGGTCTGACACCTGTATTTCATGTTCCCTGTTGTTAATCTAAAAGTTATTTTTTTCTTAAAATAATGAAACAAGCTCCATCTTCAGGCATGCACTGTGCAGAGCCGAGGTGGCAGAGTGAACATAAAGGACATTTCAGCTGTAACTATTTAGCTAAGAACAGTAAAAGCATTTTAATTCACACAAAAGAAGCAGATTACAGCCCTTACCCACAAACTTCTGGGGCATAGTGCTCTTACGCTTAGCTACATTATTAGCTAGTCTGTCTAGCACCAAGGCTCTGTCAGATCCCGTCTGGCTTAAGTCTTCCCTCTGCTCATTCTGGTTGCTTTCTTCCTTTACTACTGGAAAGCAAGACAGAGAAGTAGATTTCAGCGTCAGAGTAATTTTGAACTGGTCCTTTTTTTTTCTTATCAGATGATGAGGTGGAGCCTAGTGATACATGCCGGATGGTATTCCTATGTATTTCCTGTGTGTGGGGCTCAGAGCGGACTGTTCTGACGTGAAGCTCTTGGTATTTGCTCATGCATTCAGAGGATCAATCCTATGCAGATATGCCTCCAGTCATCATCATGTGGATCATAAAGGCCCTCAGGCAGATCAGTGTTGTTGGTATGTGATGTCTCAGAGTTGGGCGGACGTTGGGGAGCGTTTCGGCGCCACCAACCTGTGTAGATGCTGTTCTGCAGGCCCATGCACTGCAGGTAGTTGTGGCAGCGCTCCTTGTGCTCCTCCAGGGAGCTGCGCTGCTTGTAGCTCCGGCCACAGTAGGCGCACTTGTGCGGTTTTCCAACTGAAATACATCAAAGAAACAGAAAACGGGCTATCAAGGTGCTCACAAAACCACATGCTGTCTGAAAGTGTCTGTATTAAATGCAGATTAAAGAGAATCTTGGTAAAATATTAAATTCATAAAAATGCAATTCTTTTACTATTTCATTTATCCTCTAATAGAAAAGATTTTTTCTCATTTTTGTTCATTTTTATTTATTAAGTACAAATATATTTGTAGAAAAGAGCAGAGTGTCCAAATATCTATAATACATTTATGTAACACATAATAATAGTATAGTATCTATTTAAAATAAAGAATAGAGATTACTTATTTAAATTTCATCCAAAAAAACAAAACTAACATTCAGAAAAAAATTAAAACATTTTCTTTTTAGCTTCTTTAAAAAGCCAGTTTTAGATGCATATGATTTCTTTATTTTATGAAAGGAAAAAATATTGAAATAAACTTAAATAAAATAAATGTTTAAAGTAGATGTTTTGTAGAAAATCATATATTTAAAAATCAAATAAATAAATGCATTTAAAATTAAATAATTATGAAAAATAGTTTATTAAAACAATTCGCATTTTTAATTCAGATTTTATTTAGTTAATTTGTAATGTTTTTAGTGTCAAACTTACAAATGACAAATTTGCTTCAGTTAAAAAGTACATACTTTTCAGCTGTTTAGAAAAATGAAATATTTTAAAAATGTACGGTAAATATATATATTATTGAATTAAGTTAACTTTATATAGAAAAGGGAGATATCTAAAGTAATAAATTAATAAATATAAAATTGTAAAAAATTAAATAAAATATTTTACATAAAGTCAGACTTTATTCAAATTTTAAAAAAATCTACATTTTATTTAATTGACCAGGAGAATTTGTAGTTTGTCTGAAAATCATCATGAAGCAGCTAAAATAAATCTGTATTAAATATATTTCAGTTGAGATAAAATCAGAGATAAACTCCGCCCTACTTTGCATGTTCTTGGTGGTTTCACTGCAGCTATTTAATTTAAATTCATCATTTCTATCCGTACCAGCCAGCCTGTGGTCGCCTGAAAATGTGCTGCAGAAAACAGATTCATTCCAGATAAGATCTGACATTTCGCACTGCGCCTCTTCTGGTTCTCCTAACGCAGTGAAACACGGAGCGCCTGCACATGCATGGCTGTTAGCCGTGCAGGTTATCCCTCCGCTCTTCCGTTAAACTGTTCAGAGCGAGCTCGTTGTTTACACCCAATTTCATTAGCACATACTTCTGCAAAGCATGTGCAGAAAAAAGAAAAAAAGTGACACCATATCTCCATGCTGTCAACTTCCTCTTATAAAGAACTGAGGTCTCACTTTGTCCACAGCAGAAGTTGCTCTGTCCTAAGTTTTCCTAGAACAACAGAGTGTGTGTGTGTGTAGGAGTGTGTGTGTGTTGATGCTCACCTGAGTGGGTGCGCAGGTGTCCGGTGAGGGCGTCCCTCCTGCGGCAGGCGTAGCTGCACAGGTGACACTTGAAGGGTTTCTCCCCTGAGTGGAGCTTGATGTGACGCAGCAGGTTGCCCTTCTGGGTGAAGGAGGCGCCGCACTGGCTGCACTGGAACGGCCGCTCGCCTGAGGACAGAGAGCAGACACTCTGAACGCACCCAAACAGAAAGCACAACGTGCACCACTGCTGCTCAGCTTATATGTTTTTATCTGTCTCAATGTCTTTCATGTGGATAAGCACAAAGACGTGCAGGGTCACTGCGCTACAAGCGCCCCGGGCGCCAGAACACGCTGGATGATGGAGCGTTGCCGGGCTGACAGCGATCCAGCAGCCGGCGGGAGGGTCTCCATCTCCCCGCGCCCCCCTCGTCCCCCGGCGCTCTGATCGAACATGAGCCTCTCACACTCAGTCTGCCAGCTCCGTAATGCACCATTGCTTAGGTCAATTTGATCTGAAAATCTCATTTTTCCCCCCCTCTTCTTCGTCTCTAAAATAAGCGCGCCACATCACCATGCAAATTCAGCCTCATTTGAATAAAGCGAAGGAAACACTTTGTGTTGAGAGCCAGTCTTCCTGATCAGCGCCTCTGGAATAAACCAATATCCAGCCTTTCCGCGTGTTGTGGCATTCTCTGAAAACGCTATATTATGGCTTTTTTTTTCTTTCAAAAGCCCGCCATAAAATAAGAGTCGCCAGTGAAGCAGCAAAAATATAAAGGGAAATTCATTAAAAATGCATTTCAGGAGCAAAAGACGTAGTGGAGAATATTTTCTTTTTTAAATAGGAGCCATTTCATTAAATCTCTTAGCGTACTTTCTTTTGCATTTGCATCAGTCGACTGTTCCTTTCTTCCATTTTGAGTTTCATTAGTTTCAGAAGCTTGACAGTTAAGTGGCTTTTTCGCAGATGTTCCCCACCACTGGTTTGGCTCCGATACAATAGCATATCATTTCTGAATTTCTGAAAAACTTTTTAACAGCCAGATAATTGTCGTTTTAAAGTCGATTCCATTTAACTGCAGCAGATATCCTGCTTCTAATCTCAGGGTGGGTGTGTTTTTTTGCTCAGAAACTAATGGATAATTAGTGTTTGTCAGGTGGTTATTAGGAGAAATTTAAGTGAAAAGTGATGAATGTTAAATGTGATGCTGAGAATCTTTCAGGCATGACAGGAGGGAGAGGAGATGCAGCAATCAGTCCTGATTTCTGCTTTTCTTTTCTAAAGTTTAGAACAGAAGAGAAAAAAAAATGTCCTAAAAATAATATTTCTAAACATTTGAGCTGCAATCGAAGACGATTATTGGTGCGTCTTTCATCTGTTGATCCAGATTTTTCTGCAAAGTGAGAATTACAACTCAAATTTATCTGAATTGCATTATTTAGAAATGCTGTTTGATGTGTTTGCAGACAGGAAATTATAGTTTTCATGCATTTAATAAAAAACGGGGGAAAAAATAGATTTTTAGGGAAAATCATCCATTTATGATTGGCTGATTGGTGCATCTCTCATCGTGTTTTTGAGATTGAACGTATGCTTTTATTATTTTCAGTAGAGGCCACTGTGCTACATTTTGTATTTGCTTGAATAAAACAGATGTGGTGCAGAGCTACAGAGTTTTTCTTGAACAACAGGAAGTGCCACAGCAGCACACAGTCTTCTCCCTTTCATACTGACAGTCAACATGGGTGCAGAGGAAGAGCAAGAAACATTGCAGGCGGCTTACCGGTGTGGCTTCGCTTGTGCACCATCAACACATTGGGGCCAATGCAAACTATCCCACAGATATCGCACTTGAGCTTCCCGTTGGGCAGTCGGATACCGCCAGCCGAGGAGAAGGCCTTGGCTTCGGGACTCGGCTGTGAGCCGTTCAGCTTGGCCCCGGAGGGGTCGACCACGCGCAAGTCTTCCGCGCACTCCTCCTCCTCCACGCCATTCATCATGTCACAGGCCAGCCCACTCTCCTCATCACTGCGAGCCTCAACTTTAATGTTACAGGCTGGAAGAGAGGGCAAGGGGGGGCCACGGTTTAGAATACGAGCAAACTTCTGTTATCATGTCAAACTCTAGAAGATGCGCACTTTGATTTATTCAAGTAAATCTTTACATTATCCTGACAGTCTGAACCTTAAAGCTGCAGTTTGTGACTTTTATAAAAAACAGGTGTTTTTACATGTTTGTTAAAGCTGTCACCATGTCAGCTCCTCTTCCTCCTCCCAGTGCTCCCAATACTGACTAGAAACAACCAATCAGAGCCAGGAGGCGGGTCTTAGCGCGATCAAGCAGATCCTCATTGGTAGCCATGCTAAGGCTAGTTAGCACAGCTACCACTGAGGGCAGATAAATGGTTTTCCTGTACTGAGAAGTTGCTTCTCTGTTATTAGCATATTTAGCAGCAAGTACGTGAGGATGATTGACAGCGCTAAGACCTGCCTCCTGGCTCTGGTTGGTTGTTTTTGATGGTGCATTTCTTCAGCTATAGTAGCTCAGGGATGCAGATCATAACAAACCGTCACAACATAGTGACATTTTTAACAAATATGTAAAAAACATATTTTTATAAAAGTTAAATACTGCAGCTTTAAAACTCAATAAATTAATGATATTTTGTGTATTTGGTGTCTATTTCAGGTCATTGGAGGCCCTTTTGCTGTTTGCTTTAGATACATCTTTTATAACAAATTTCTGTTTCTTTAAATCTGATTTTAGGAATTTTTAAAATATTTTTTGTTCATCATTCTGCTCAAGTGTTTTTCTGTGTAGGTTTGCAATTGCTTGTATTTCAAAAACATGAACTGTCACATTGAACAAACATGTTGTATTTCTGGAGCGCCTCCCTGCTCTGATGCACAGAAACTCGCCAAAGTATTCACACCTCATGAAATTCTCCACATTACAAACTTCAGTTTGTTTATCTGGGATTTTATCTGGCAAACCAACACAAAGTTTAGCATGCATTTGTTTTCAGACTCAAAACTTTACAGAAACCTGTTTTTTTTTTTGTTTTTTTTGGGTGTGTCTCCTCCAGTTTTATAAAAATTTCAAGCTTTTGTAACGGATCTAAAATTTGACTAATTAATTCAAAGAAAAGGTTTGATCTAATCTATTCCTTTGGCGGTCAATAACAGGCTGTCTTACAGAGTTGTTCTGCATTTAGCTGTATCTATTTTTCCTTTAATGCTTTTAAAGGAAGCAACAACCTTTAAAGGAAGCCCTGCAGCATGATGCTGCCACCACCATCTTTTAGAGTGAAACACATCAGATTCCCTTTTGTCCTATTCAGTCTTCCTTGTCGTATTTGCTGCTTAAGTTTGGAACAGTGTATCAATTTTTTTACTTTTAGTAGCTAACTAGCATCTTTAAAGCTCAGATAGCGCCTGAACTTCAACCCCAGACTACATAGGAGTTGAAAAGGAGGCTTCATGGATGCAGAGCAGGGACAGAAGGAGGAAGTTCAAACCATCTACTCCATCCATCACGATGGGAAATGATCATATCCCGACTAAAACATTTCTCTACCTGTTTGTAATAGTCTTCAGTCAGAGGCCTCTCCAGATTCAATGCAGGACTGACTGCTACTGGAGATCCTTCCTGTCCACAGCATTATCAATGATTCTTTGAAGATTCTTGGATGAATTAACTAAAGTACTCAGTATTTTATAATATTGTACAACTTTGTGTTGGTCTATCACATAAGACCCAAATGAAATACTTTTTTTAAATACTCTTGACGCTAAAAGCTGTGGAAATCTTGAGGAGGTGTGAAAACTTTAATCAAACGCCCATTTGTTTCAGCACCACATGATGATCCCTGTATCTTTGGTTATTCATCATTTCAGTTTCTCCAGCTGGAAACGAGTCAGTACGTGACAACCCTGCGCTACAAAAAAAAACCCACAGCGGCTTTATGATAATGTCAGGCTGCGGCGTTTTCATGCGCTGCTCCGCGATGCATCAAATCTTCAAGAATTTCCCTCCTATTTCAGGCATTCTGTGAAGCGACAGCAGCCTACGCACCAACAGGCCGTTTGACTGCTGAAGCACAAACGGTCAGGACACACAGTTTGGAAAGCATGCCGTCAGGATGTCAGAGATGAGATGCTTCAACATGCCGATCATCTCACACCATCACACTTTGGTAAAGCAAATGACAGCAAGATAAACAGGAAACAGAGACACAGGAAGCAGTGTCAAACTTTAGGGACTGAGGCAGAAACTATCAGCGCAACAGAGAGCTCACAGCCTCACCTACACTGCAGGCACAAACCTCGAGTTAACTGGCCAAAATGTCAAATTCTGCATGGTTCATCAATGCAAACCACTTCTGAGGACAAAATACAAATAAAAAAGCAATTTTTAAATGTTTATTTGATTTGTGGTTTTCCACTGATCAGAAAAAAAGAGAAGTGTCATGCGCAATAAACTGCTTGCTCCCGCTTTTCCCACCAGAGAGCGTTTAGAAATGTGTAAGAGAACCGGCGGATCGTGCAAGTCCCACAGCCACCAGCCTGTGGTTTGCACATCTCGGCAGCAGCCTGATTTCCCCATGCCTCCGTCTCTGTTTGTACAACTGAAGAGGAACAAGTGGAAATCATGAAATATAGGAATCCATGGAAAAAGGGGAAGCTTCAGAAAGAGGGCCTGTCTAACTGAAATACCAAGAATTATGGAGAAGTGACAGAAAGGGAAGCACGGGAAAGGAATTGTTAAACAACATGTAACTGAAACAGTTTTTTTCTTTATCGCAACGAGTCAGAGGGAACATAAAGGTCTGCTAACAGAAAGCAGGAGGTGAAGTGGAATAAGGATCACCAGGTCACGTAATGCATTTATCTTTGTTTATCTGATTTGCACATCAAACTTCTTTCTACTTTTTTTTAGTTTTGCAAACCACGCTTCCTATATTTGTTACGATTGAAAAGGGATCCTGACATGAATCTGTTAAACCAAATGTTTCCATGATTCTGCTGATATGAAATCAGGACAAATATAGTTCCTGTGAGTAAGTTTTTATCTCCTTTACACATTTCTTCTCTTCTTGCTCTTGTCACAATTTGCAAATCCAGCAAATTGCAATTTTTAAATGACAATTTGATGAAATAAAGGAGAGAAAACTATCCAAACAAGATGTGACAAAGTATTTACCCATCTAAACCTAATAACTTTAAGTCAGCCACATTTTAAAGCATGTTTAAAATCATGCCAAAACATCCAACCTTCATTTTTGTTTTAGTTTTTAGCCATTCAGAGATATTTGCTGGTATTCTTTGGATCATTATCCAACCTTAAAATCCAACTGCTGTTGAAGTTAAGGTCATAAACTGCAGGGTTTGTTGTTTGAAAGCAGAAGTTAAGATTTAATCAACAATGACGAGTCATCCAGATCCTTAATCATCCTTATGATGGATGGTACAAGGTAAACGTGGCACTTTGTTTCCAACGTCCAACTTTTTAGTTCTTATTCCAACTGTTTATGTGGACAAGTTTAGATAAGTATCTATTTTTATGGTTGTCCTTCCTAAACTTATGCAGGGAATAAAACAAAATGGGAATAAAACTGATTCCCATTTTGAAGAGTGCACCAGTATGGGCCTCCATGTCACTGAAATAGGAAGTCCAACATTGGTGAATACAATTTTCTGCTCTATATCTACTCTACTTAAAAAAAAAAAAACAAAAAAAAAAAACGTATTTCTTAACACTATTTAGTTTCACTTTCTGGTGTGAAACAAGGAAACTGCAACAATTAAAAAATGGTTTTTTATAAAGTTTTTTTTAAAACACATCTTTACTGGGGGGCAACACATGTTGCATTTATATTCTGTATTTAATCAATTTTATATAAACACTTGAAATTTATTTGAATTCATTCATTTTTGTTAGCATGCTAATGTAGCCATTTTTGTTGTTAGGTTATTGTTAGCTAAGAAATTAGCCATGTTTTGTCCTCTTGTACTTTACTATGTCCTTTTTATTTATTTATAACATGAATTAGTTTTTCTGGTGTAAACATGCTCATACATCAGACTGATACAAGCGTTTGGCTAAGTGTTGCTAGCTTCCACAGCTAACTAGCGTTAGCTTAGTCTGATGATATCTGCTTATATATGTATTATAAACATTTTCAACATATTTAAAACAAAACTAATGTTTTATCAGTTAAGTCATATTTGATTTATTAATATATTTTTGACTATTGTTCCTTTATTACAACACATAACCAAGAAGGGGGAAGAGGAGGTTGCTAATCGTTAGTGAGTTTCTGCTATGTACCATGAATTTGTGACATCTTATGCATTGTGTGTAAATGTGAAAGAGAATCAGCCGGTGCAACTTGCTCAGACAAACATCTCTTCTGTAGACTGCGCTGCACGTGTTGCAAAACATGAAGCTCTCAGAAAAACCACCAAGTTTTTTCTTTTTTCTCTCAGGCAGGCCAAAGCAGTTCACTGATGATGTAAGTCTTCCTGCTGATTTTGAAGTGATCAAGTTTGTTACACTGGAACGTCATGAACTTCAAAGCATATTTTACTGAAATATAACTCAAACATTAAATGTGAGTTTTTTACAAAACGTAACTAAAGGGACGATTCGCGGTTCAGTATTATCAGATTTTTCTGAGTCCAGATAATTTGCGGAAAATTCACCAATGGAATTTTTTAGAGCATATCTAAAATATTCAAAAAAGTTTAAATATTTCGGCTCAATGCTATTGAGATGCTACTGACTGGCTTTTGGAAAAGCAGCCAATCAAGAAGTGGCATTCATTTTTATTGGCTCTGATTGGCTGAAGTGCCGGGAGCAGAAATAGGGAAGATTGTAGATGTTAGCTTCTGCGGTAGCGACAAGACGGTTTCAGCTGTGTGCATTAATGCATATTAAGATATATTTGGTTTTTGAACCATTAAAATAGGAAGTTATTAGTGTTTTAGTCGGTTTTTTAAGTATTTTAGCTACACGTGAGTTCCTAACCTACATGCTATATATTAAGAAATGTATATAGTAAAAATGACATGTATTATGAGGGGGACATTGTCCATTGCTGTTTTGTCCTGCAATGTTGAAGCAGTCAAGACAGCCATGGAGACGCTTTTTGTGGACAATCTTATGGGATGGGAGCACTTTTGCAATTTATATCCAGTTGGATATGATAAATGATAAATGAACCTAAACTGAGGTGACCTGAATTGAAAAGCAGCTAAAATGTTGAAGCCATGATCAGTCTGGACTGTAGAGAAGGGAACCTTTAGCGCTGGGCAGCCGCCCAGGTCTCATGGATATGAGGAAGTTGTGACTAAATATGGAATAGGAAGAAAGCTTTTATTTTATGTTTGTCATGATCACACATCCTGATTTTTCATTTTGGGAAGCAGGTGTCAGATCACAGTGTAGACAAACACAAAAGGTAACAATAAAAAGTCACAACCTGATATACAGGGGATCTCATCCTCAGATTACTAATAGAGCAGATGATGAACTATGACATGTCTCCCTGCAGCGGATCGCTGCAGGGAGACATGTTAGCGGCGTAGCGTGGACGCAGGGCGCCTGCTGGAAGTTACTGTTTCTGTGTTTCTCTCAGGGCCTGAAAATAACTTGGTGTGCAAGGTAGAGGAACCACAAGTGTCAAACCACGCCAGCGACACATTCAGCACAACTTGCAGGAACGCTAAATACAGCCTACTTTTCCCCTCACACACGACAAAAAAAACTTGCAGCCATGTTTTCGGGAACTAGTCTCCCTTTCAGTCTCATGCCTCTGAAATAGCAAAAGGCTCCATCTGAATCACAGAAAGTGAAAGAGAACCAAAAAAAAAAAAATCAGCGGGAAGGTTCAGCTTGAAGACGTGTGACTTCAACCCAACGTTTCTCCATGATTTTCAGCTAATGAGAAAAGGGCCTCACCATGACCTTTAAACCTCCTTTCTGTCTGTGTGTGTTTGTAGACTGTGTGACTATTCGGTCCGACAAGCTCCATCCCGAGCTGTGAATAGTTATTTGCAACAGGAAACAACCTGGGTTTTGAGGTTTCGAGCTTTCGATACTTTGAGGTTCCGTGTCCCACATTTAGGCTCCCTGGGCCCACTATTTGCCTGTTGTGTTTTTTGTTTTTTTTCACTAAAGAGAACTGAGCAGCACATGATCCTGGGCGATAATTTTAACTCATTCTGGCTTTTATCACAGAAGCAGCCATGCACAGATGTACCAGATACTTGCACTTCCCTTCTTTCTCTCTCTCTGTCCCTGCGCAGAGATATGCTCACACGCTAATATACATGGATTAAACATATATATGCATTATGCATCTACGTATACCACAAACTGTGCTGTTTTTCTTCTACATTTGGAGCTAAACATTTTTTAAAAACGTGCTCTTTGACATTTTTCAGCAGAAATTGCAGGTCTAGTAAAGAACGAAGTGTAAGGAGATTTCCTGCCTGAGTCAAGTTCCCTTCCTGACACCTCACCGGTAAAGTCAAAGAGAAAGCCTTTGTTAGTAAGCATGCATATATATATATATATATATATATATATATATATATATATATATATATATGTAATAAATGTATATATGTATATATATGTGTGTGTGTGGGTGTGGGTGTGGGTGTGTGTGTGCACAGGTGTGTGACCTCTGTGGTGCAGTGTTGTGCTGATCTCTCTCTGCTTTGGCCCTGCTCCTAAACTCTTTATCTCCAGGAGTGTTGAAACTGTCTGATGGCAAGTTCTTCTTAGGAAACTCTTACACATCCTATTTCAGTTTCCTCTCGCATCTTATTTTTGACTGCGTGCTGCTAATCTTTGCCGTTATCTGGATATGTGGAACGCTGCAGATAGCACATGACGAGCCTTTTTTTGTCACGATGAACACAGCCATTTTTTTTCTCCATCCTAAGCAGAGACATTTCCACTTAAACACCTACAGAGTTTAAATCTTCACCTTCTATCCAGGGTTTTTTCCTTAGACACCCATGAATGATGAATATTTCTTGCTCTTTCACAAACCACCCATGTTAGGAGACTTGAGCTTGCTTCATCCTCATTTTCACCATCAAATTCCCCTGCTTGATGTTCACAAACTCAAATCAAGGCCACATTAAGTATTCCTTAAGATTGAGGTTATTAATGACATGCCATGGATCAAAGGCGTCTCTATTTCCTCCACCTTTCCTGCCAATGACCTAAATGTGTCTCTTTGCATCTCTAAATGAATTTTTCCAGGGGGTTCAGGGTGTACTCCCGATGGAGCTACATGGGATTAACTTAGTTAAACATTTTTATATGTGTTTTGCTTTTGATCCTGACATTTTCACATATCTGTCTGGGTTTCATTTGGATGCACTGGGAATGCTGCTGCAGTGTTTTTTACATTTTGGCTCCTGTTTGTTTGCTGCTTCATTGGACGTACTCATCACACACATACAGCGATTCTCAAAAGTCTACACACCCCTGATAAAATGCCAGTTTTTTCTGCTGTAGAAAATAAGGCCATGATGGTTAATATGAAAATGTTTTCCACCTTAGATGTGACATAAAATCTGTTTCATGTACCTGAAAAATTACATCATGCAGCAGAAACATTTTTTAAATTTGCTCTAATTTTTTGCATTACATTACTGAAGCATCTTTACATACAGCCTTCAACAGCCATCATAGTGAATCTGATATGTTTGTTCCTTTGCATCCAATAAAGGATCAAAATGATCTCATTAGTCAAAGGTATCAGTCAGGAGAGGGGTGTGAATTAAATCTGAACAAGTTCCAACAAGTACTGGTTGTTAGAACAATCTCCTGCATCATCCATGTTTCTGGACAAAGATGTAAGTTTCAAGTCTTCCATAAATAATGCTGGAAATGAACATAGTGAAAGATGGAAGTGGCAGCATCATGCTGCGGGGTTGTTTTTTTCTGCCAGACTTGACTCAAAGCATTCTGGTTTCTGTTACAGATCTGAAGATAAAGATGGATTTTATTTGTCAGTATCACTTTGAGTGCAAACACACATTCAGGTCAATAAAGTCTGACTTCAGAAGAGGAAAATTTAAGTTGTAGAATGGTTTAGTCAAAGTCCAGAGGTTAATTTGGACTGAAAATATGTGGGGCCACTTAAAGAGTCTTATTAATCTGGTGGACCTCAGATAGTTGAATGAACCAAAAGGTGTTTCAACAAAGTTTTAGTTTGTAGTCCAAAGTGTGGCCCGGGGACCATTTGTGGCCTTAAAAGAATCTCGGTCAGCCCCTGACCACAAGTCAAGAATGATAAAAAATGTGGCCAACAAAATGGAAAACTTTCAAAATTGATGACCCAACAGATTTGGATATTGCTGGGTTTTTCTTTAAATAAAACAACAGTCTAAATCCATTTTATTCTTTTGATCTTTTTACAGATTTTGTGAACTGTTATTGTCAAGCAGGTAAATATGAAAGACGACAATAATTTTTTCTAGTTTTTCTATTTTGTGGCCCAACAATAGTTAAAGTTGGTCAGTTTTTGTCCCTGGCTCAGAAAGTTTGAACATAATTAACTGATTTTTGAGTTTTTCAGGCGATAGATGCCATGTTGAAGGCAAACTTGGAGTTTTAATTGATTTCCAATTAACTCAGGGGTGTGTATACTTTTTAGACTCCCTGCAGGTCACGTGATTCTTTATTTTTTACTCCAGACCTGGTTGGGCTGTGGGTGCAGTCGTACCTTTGTCCCCCCGGTTGTTCTGCTGATGGGTGGAACCGGCTGACAGGTCTTCGGGGACGGCCATGGGCTCCTCTGCCTCCTCAGACGCTTCGTTGGCAGGGGGGCTCTCCCTGCCTGGGATGGTGGGGGAGGACACACACCAGCAAACACCCATCACTCACCATGCAACCCCTCGACATGACTCTCAGGAGGAGATAAATTACCTCCCGCTGATGCAAAGTGGCTGTTTGTGGGCCTATTGTCCCGACTGTGTGCGCTACATTTCAATCATGAGGTGGGCGAGCTTTTACCTGGCATCTGCGCCATTTCCTGGGCCTCTTCGGTCTCCATGCGGTGCAAGTACTCTGCAGAGGAGATGTAGATGTGTATAAGTTTAATCAAGTTCAACGTTAGAAGCAGCTTGAGTGGAGTTAAGGGTGTGACTCCATCAGCACAGCGGGATAACTCTTGTCACAGCCAGCGTCCCCCGTGTTACATTACAAAGAATTACAGACGTTTTCATTATAAGCCCTGACAGAGAGGCTGAGCTGCAGCGCGGCCCCGGCTCCGGCTCGCAGGGGCCCGCTGGTGGGAATGGGCTTTCACACCACATTTGTTATTTATTGTTAATTTCCTGCCACGTAATCATCCAAAAATGCAAACTGACTGCCGCAAAATTAAGCAGAAAATTAACTGGCCTCAGGGTCACGGGGGATGCGGGCGACCGGCGTGCCCGGCTGATCGACGCTCGTGTTCTCTCTAATTTACTGAGCATGCATCGCTGAGTCCGCGGCCCAAGCGCAGACACCATCAGAATCACGGAGAGGGAGAAAAAAAAGGCGGCTGAGAGATAGATGGCTGCGAGGAGGCCAGGAGTCAAAGGAGAACGGGCACGAGACAGGAAACTTCTGCACAATTTATCAGGATTTTCTGTGAGAAACCAACATCAAGAAGAGCAGGATTGTGAGTTGGAGGGAAAATAATGTATGATTTTTCAACCCCACTTTACTCTGATACTCCTAGATAAAATCCAGGAGGACTGTGGTGACTCTGGAGGAGCTGCAGACACAACAATTTGCCACACACTCTATTAACCAGGACTCTGGGAGAGAAAAAGGAAGTTTGACATCTAGGAAACACAACAAACATGAAACATGATGGTGGCAGTATCATGCTGTGGTTTTAGCAGGGAATGGAAAGTCAGACAGAGTTGACAAGACACCCATGGAAGAATTTTCTCTCGTCAAATGAGAGAAACTTTGATCTGTATGGAGGAATATAATAACTGAAAATTCATCTTTCCTAGTATGAGAAACTGGTGCTGCTTTTTTTAGCGAGTTGATATGAATATGATGAGCTAATCAGAGAGGAATCCTGGAAAAAAACCTGTTAGAGTCTGGAAAAAATAAAGACTGGAGGAAAAGTTTTAGCTTCTGGGGGAATCATGACCCTAAAAACATTGGAAGAGCTGAAATGGATTTTATCAAAGCATATTCATGTTTTAGAATAGCCCAGATGTAATATACTTGTAAAAAAATGCTGTTAAGAGTTGCTCTCCATCCAGTCTGACTCCCACTAAACTACTTATACAAAGAAAATTTGATCTCCAGATGAGCAAAATCCAATAATCCCAAAAGAGTTTTGACCAAGGCATGTTGAACCCCTAAACGCCTCAGTTTTTTATTAAAAAGAATATTTTCACATTTCACCTAAATCCCCTTATAACACTCTGAAGTTAGAGGCTGTAATGTGACAAAATGTGAAAAAAAGTTCAGAGGGTGTGAATATTTTTGCAAAGTGCAGCAAGGGACAGAAGTTCTCTTTATTTATTAATTTTTTTGCATGAGCCGAGGCGATCCAGAAGCGATCCTCTGGCCAGGGCTGAGTATCTGAGGAGTCACCAACGCCCGTGGCCCCATTAATAATGGATGGCCCTCAAGCCTGCAGCAGATGGGCCCCGACAGCCTCGGCCCCAGCGCCGCCACTTCAAGAAGCCCGCGCTGGGGCGGCTGCCCGGTCCAAGCAGCCACACAGGGAGAAGTGAAGCTCCCGAAAATAGCGAAACAAGCCCAAGGGAGAAGGGGAACCTAGGCCTTCCTGTTTTACTGACAGATGGCTCCACACATTTGGAACGAACAGTGGGAAGCGAACCGGGTCCGCTCTGTCGCAACGCTCAACGTCAGGTCGGGAGCTCGACGCCTACAGATGCCAACCAGGATGCGAGTGTGAGAGCAGGAGGAAGAGAAGAAGAAAGAGGAGGAGGGGAGTGGGGGCAAAGGTCAACGGTGCAGATGATTTGTATGTTACCTCAGCATCGGGAGTTTGCAGACAGGACTCCGTTCTCGTGTACCTTTATAGTTTTTGTCAGGGTGCACGGATGCTTGGTGGGGGGGGGGTTTATGGGGTTATCTTGACTAAAATAAAGCCCTTAAGACGGAGTTCCTACATTCTCAGCCACAGCGCGCCTGCCTCGGCGTTTGGAAAGTAAGTTACAGAGTAGAACAATCAGGAAGTAACTCTTCAGCTCAACCAGTGACTCTATTTTCAAGCTGTTTTCACTCTTTACATGTGACAGACAGTTTTGACTTGTTCTAATTTTATTAGTGTCTCATTTGTACTTCAGCTTTTCTTATTAAAAAAGAATTGACAGCGTTGCACGTTCAAATCCCACTTTCCCCTCCTTTAAAACCCCAAAATGTTTTAATTCAAGCTCAGTGTTGCCAGTCTGAAACAAAGCGAACTCGTGTGTGTTGGTGGAGAAAAGTGGGGGCAAGTGGAAGATTTGTGCTGGTGGGGTGGAAGTCATCGAGAAGACTTCTGACACAAAGCGCAACGGGACTGGAACAGTTTTTGGTCGTAGTTTTGTCAAGTGGGGAGATGCAGGAAGAGGCTTGTGGGTTGACAGAATTCTCAGTCTTCCTCCTGCGTGTTTGCATGTGTGTGCATGTGTGTGTGTTGGATGGTGGTGAAGCACTGGGGTTGAGTTAGAGGGGGGGGGGTTGGTTTGAGGCGTCTGCTCATTGCGAGGTGCAAAAGCTACACCAGGGAGCAGGGTGGAGATGAGAAAACAACGAAACCGTTAACAGATACTGAGGACCACGCCAGCGCAGTGTGGATACTCAGGAGAAAGCTCCAAAAACGGCCTCCTCTCAACTTAAAACCTACAGAGTTTTACACTTAAAATGATCTGAAAAGCTTAATAATAAAACAAGAAGGGGAACAAATTTACTTTTCCTGTTTTGCAATCAGGAAACAGAATAAAATCCAAATTGCTGCAGCACAAAAACACTTTATTACCTTCAAATAAATTTTAAATTTCTACCCAAACTGATTAAAAGCTCCTCCCCTTTATTTTGCTTTTTTTTGCACTTTCTAGGGAAGCTGAATTATTAATTTTTTCCTCCCACGGTTACCTTTTATTACCACCAGTTATTAAGCTATAACAGTCACCTTTGTTCTCCATATATACACTTGGAGATTCTCATCAGTAATTCATGAAATGTATGGGTGGAAGTGGGTAGAGGGTGTTAGCAGATGTGTTCTGGGAGCCCAAGGAGGGTGGAGGGGCGAGCAAAGGTGCACTGAGGAGAAGTTTCCTTCATTTGCATCTGACACACTTCACTACTCTGCTATTCAGACAGTACAATTATTTTAATAACTGTCTGTCTTCCTCCACCCAACACACACACACACACACACACACACACACACACACACACACACACACACACACACACACACACACACAAACACACACACACACACACACTCTTCTGGTTCTTCTTGACAAGAAAGATGATGTATCTGCAGAGAGGTTTTGCAGCACTTCACTTTCCATGTGAGCTTTGAAAAAGCCCCATTTGAGCAGGTACTGCCTTTCACTTCACACCTATTTATTCTCTCTTTTTTAAAACAAAAAAATGCACCATTATATCATCTATAATTATAGTAAAATTTGATTAAATGTACTATAGAATTTTAGCAGATTTTTTTTTATTTAAAATTAATTTTTCAACTGTATACACTATATATGCTATATATATATATTTTAATCAATTAGTATTTATTACTTTTCCCTGCGTCAAACCTGAAGAGTACGGATAATAATTTCATAATTTCAGGCTTAATTTATTAACAGTCGGAAAGCATAGTGTTTATGTTTTGTTCTTAGTGTTTGGAAGAGAAAAACAACTTTATTTCCTTTATTTCATTTTCTGCTGGGCGTTGATGAACAACTTTTCGCCTCCGAGGCAGAAGTGTTAAAAGTTCCGTCAGTCCTGCCTGTAGTACGTTTTTCTTCTTCTTCCCTCCAACGGAGACGCGAAACAAACTGAAAATGTGGTTCAACTGAGAACAGAGACACATACAAAGTTTTGAGGTTTGGGGAAAATGATTTGATTCATTGATTATTTAATAGTGCGCAGCGCGTTTTCGACCTGCGCGGCTCGGTGCGGACTGATTTCCTGTTTAAGGAGAGCAGAGTTAACTTTTATTTTTAAACCCCTAATTCGGTTGTAATGTTATTTTTTTATTTTGATAAAAAAATATAAAAGTTGTTTTGGTTATTCTGTGAAACTTCAGAAATGTTCTGTTGGACTATCTGAAGTTTACGCATCTGTTGCAACAGGTGCCGCTACATGAGCAGTTAAACGCGTTAAAATGATAAGGAAACACGCAAGCAGCTCAAACCAAACCACAAACACGACATTAGTATTTTTATGTAAATTTAATTAATTTATAGGTTTAATTATTTTATTTATCCTCATTCCCAAAAGAAAAAAGGCCCATGGGAAAAAAGGGGAACATTTCCACTACTTCCTATAAATTAGTGTCGACAACGCGGAAAATAGAAGTATAAACAAAATCGTCACATTGAGTTTTAAAATATGATTCTGTTTAGTAACTAGTTTTATAACAAGATGAACTTTTATAAAAACGAGCGGCAGCAGCCGGGATCTGATGCTGAGGCGCACCTGCACCCAAACTGACAGGAGAAGCTTCTTTTTCCAGACGCAAACGTTTCCATCGTTCCTTTTCGGGCGAACCGAGCCGTTTCTGCTGCTCCACCAACACAGCCTGAAAGTTCAGCGGGAAGCCCGACAAAAAAAAACACAAAAAAGCGCGGTGGAGGTCACTTTACCTGCTATTCCTTGAGTTTGCAGAATGAAGTTCTTCCAACTCTCCCCGGCTCCATGTGCAGAAGGTCGCAGCGCCGCGGCGGCCCCATGGAGCTGCGCCCTGAGTCCCTCCCCTCTCCACTGCACTTCCTCGTTCCAGCCCAACATGTCTATGCCTCTGAGCTCGGCTGAGGCATTTTGCTCTGCTTTTATCCACACTCTGCGGCGGGGAGTCGAGCCCACCGAACCCTTGGCACTTGCTTTGTGCCGTGCCAATAAAAGCTGACACCCAGCAGACCATCACTGGCAGCCATGCATGAGATGGGATGCTGCGAGCGAGGAGAGTGGACCATTCATTGTTTATTTATTTCATTCACACGCAGGGAGTTGATGGGGGCCAGTCCGCGCCTGCATATTGGACAGCTCCCCTTCTGTCACCTGTTCTGGCTCTGAACTAGTCCATGAAATTAACTCAAGTGTTTTTCTTTACCTTGTAATGAGTTTTTCCTCTCTCTCTCTATTCAATATTTCATCCATTACTGTCCCTCTATGACCTCTTTAGAGTTCAGGCCCCGTTTTACATTCTAGGAGCTTCCCAGTAAATCAGAATATAGTTGATCTGGATCAGACTTCAGTATTTTAGCTGGTCTGTCAGATCATAGTTGGTAATTGTGGCTTGAAGCTGATGGAAATCTCAAATTGAGGTTCCATGAAACGTTTTCAGAGCCGTTTGGAACAGACCGGGATCCAGCTTTTGGTACCTTTGGTACTGTGGGTCGGTACCAGATCCTGCTGGGAAATGAAATCTGCATCTCTGTAATGTTTTTCAGCTGAAGGAAACAGGAAGTGTGCTGAAATGTTCTGGTAGATGGCCATGTTGGACCAGAACCAGCAGTGGACATGGCACTCCGGATCCGGAATCGGATCCGGAATTTGGATTCTGTAACTCTGACCGAAAAAAAGAGAATGAAGCTCCAACTTTAAAAGAAAATTAGTTCATTTGTTGCTTTTAATCAATTAAAGTTTGCCAGATTGACTTTATTTACATTGGTTTAGCATAATAACTTAATGAGCTTAATATATTTGCTTGGATAAACTTAATTTTATTTCTTGTAACAAATTAACTCAGTTTTTAAAAATTGGATCGCCTGGTTTTTGTTTTTAGTGTAGATTGATACCTTAATGCAATGAAATGTAAACTTTACTTTTATCTGAAAAAGGATTTTGAACCTTCAACTCTTTTCCGTTGTCTCTGGTTTAGAAGTGAACTGGATATCTCTGTGTGTTCGTCCATCTTGAAGCTCAGACTCCAGCTCCACATCTTATGTGTTGCTCCCTAAACTCGAATGAATTTTTCCTTCATAATCCTCACCAGGTTGCTGTCGTTCACATTTTCCACCGCACATTTTCCTTCCACTAAACTTTTCCTTGACATACAGACCCATTCAATCAACTAGAATATTATCAAAAAGTTTATTTATTAAAGTGAAGCACATTATATAGGTTAATTAGACAAAGACAGATGTCAGAGTTATTTTTCTTCATTGGGATTCATTCTGCTAATAGCTAATAAAAAATCACATTTAAAATTAAAATATTACATCAGACCAATTAAAAAAACTATTTTGGGGATTAATTAAAAATATGCTTAATTCCTGCTCCAAGGTAACATATTTTCAAAATTGAATCTGACAAACAAGCGTCGACAGAATGTATTTTCTAATTTCCTGAATGTGAGGTGGATGCAGCCTGACTGTCTGCAGGACATTTGTTGACAGAAGTCCTTATAATTGTAGAGGCCAAAACAGAACTTTCCTTTTTTAAAAATGTTTTTTATAGGTATTTTGGGTTTTCATGAGCCTTCAGCCATATATTATACATTAATATATCCTTAAAATTCATCAGTCTGTGTAAAATAAATCTATATAATGCATTAATTCCCTTCTACACTAAATAACTGAAAGATTTTTTTTTTCACCTTTGTAGCAGAATCAAATGTAAACCGTTTTAAGTTCCCAAAATGTCCCGTATGTCCATGATGATCAGTTTTTCCTTTATTTTGTTGCTTCCGCAGCATTAAGTCCCTTCTGCTCAGTCCTGCAGTTGATCTTCAGGCTGATGTGCTTTAATTTTCTGACATGTGGTTTTCCCTCTGGTTTTCTGCAGAGGCTACTTGAAACCAGCACCGTCTCACTGACTTCTACAGCTCAGCTTTACTGCTGACATTCCACCTTTTGCATCAGAGTTGATTATTTAAAGCAGCCTTCATGCACAGAGCTTCCTGTCCACCTCCACCTGCCACGCAGCTCTGAAAGATGAGAATCAGACTTTGGAGCAAAGGATTTTTTCTTCATCCATTGATTTGTGTTTTAGCATTTACCCACCAAAGCATCATTTCTAAACATTTCCTTTCATTTTTCATGACCATATAATGGATTTTTTTTTCCTATTGTGCTTTATAAGTATTCAAATTCCTGGTGGAGCAACACAAAACATTATGTAACTGTGAAGTTTAAAGAAAAAGAACAAATTTTTATGTTTTTTTTTTTTTTTTTTTTTTCAAAAAAAAATCTAAAAAGGGGGGACTGGTTTTTTTTTTTAAATTCCTGAGTTT